GGAAACTAACTCAGAGGGCAAGAGAAGAAAAAAATGACAAAACTGGCAGAAAGGGTAAGTTCTGCTTTGTGTCATGTGAGGTACGAGAGAAACTTTTCTAACAGAAAAAAGTAAAATCAAAAGAAAACAGTACACTGGTAACCCTCTGGGTGTACAGCAGTCAATCAGCCTGTGAAAAAGAAAGGTCAGGTCTGTTTTACACAACTTACTGAAAATAGCAGTAATAGTTATAAATTAAACACTTCTTAAAACCTGCTACTTTTCCATACCACAAGCCATAGTTACTTGGAGCTCAGTCTGTAAGAGGTTGGCTGCCAACAGAGAGGAGCTCTTAACCCCTGAGGCACAAAAGCATCCCCCACACCTCCTGCAGCCCACCCCTTTTACAAGGTGTGTGGTGAGGGGCTGCTGTGTGGCCTGACCGAGGCACCAGCAACGCTGCATCTTTCTCTCTCTCATACCCATTCCTACAGGTGTGCAGTTTCCAAAGGGAACATTCAATGACTTGAAGAGACAAAGCTACGGAAAGGAAACTTGCCTACTGTCTCCAGAAGCAAAGTCCTGTCTTGAATCCCACTGGCACAGTAGGAATTAGGGGAATAAAGTAATGCACAGAAACACAACAAGATGACTGCTTCCAAGAATTCCTGCTTGACCAAGCAAGGAGACTTGACATTACTGTTACCAAGGTCTACGAGAGCAATAATTTTACCTTACCTGCACACTGAATATAAAGTAGCCACTAACACTTTGCTCTGCAATCACATCCTCCATGGTGCGCAAGGTGGTCCCCAAGTATGAGTTCAGGAGCTGAGTAGGAAGCAGCCCAACTGAAGAAGCCATCAGGTACTTGGAGAGTGACAAATCTGTAATCTGAGTAAAAGAAAGCATTAAGAAACCGAGCATGGCTCCAACACAATCTGAGTGCATAAACAACCAGACTGCCGATCCCACAAGCATCCATGAAAAAAAAAAAAAAAAGAATTAAAGGAAATCATTTCAGAGATTCCTTCACTGAAACTTTCCACTACATGTGAATCTAAGATAATACAATAAAACAGTAGGTGGGTAGTTTTCATTTGGTTTTACTAGGTTTTATTTTGTATCATCTTACCCTACAGAACATTTCTGTGCAAAAGTCATTAACTAAGGATGCAATTACACTGCTCATTGAAGATGTTTATTTCTCCATGGTGAAGGAAGCCCTACAATTTATGAGAATTTGCTTGCAGGAAGAAATTACCAAATGTGGTGTAAAGCAAAAATCTATTTGTTTTCCTTTTTACATGTATGGCAACTAATAAAAGATGTAATTGTTCAGAATGTTGCTGTATTAAATATAATCTACGTAAACAGAATGGCAGATACAAGTTGTCTCTGCAAGGGAAGCTCTGCACTCATTCAGATACATGTATCTATCACTGATCTCTAGCAGCAACAACTACCTACATGGGTATCATTAAGATTCTCTACCAAAGATATTTTATAACACATTTCAATTAATGGACAAAACAGTACACACTGCTACAGCTTTGGTTAGTTTATTTGGGGGGAAAAAAAAAAGTGATAATACTTTGAAGATACTTTCCTCTCTTTGCTGTGAAATTTCTGTCCTGAGTCAGCATGTGGACAGTTTACATGAGAAAAAGTACCCATTGCTGGCTACACTGGTACCAGCAGCCACTGGGAAACACTAAATGCAAAAGCCAAGATACCAAAGGATATTTATGCATGGAAAATGAAAACAGAAGGAAACTATGGGTTAAAATGAGTCTGAAAAGAACGATTTTGAAACAAGCAGTCTAAGGAATTTTCCAGACAATTCAGTTGATCACATAGTAATAAAACATACCCTAATTAAGAACAGCCCCTAACACTGGGAGCCCACATGGAAATTCCTGACCTTGACCGTTTAGTACAATGGTGAAGATGAGAGAATAGCAGCAAAGTTACTCATGTCATCATGCTATTCTTAAAATACACTTGAGTTACAATGAAAGTCACAGTGCTGAATTCTCAGAGCTTTAAGCACCATCAGTGGAAAGTTTTTGGGAAGAATGGCAGGCAGTGGAGGAGGAGAATGCAATGAAGCATAGAGATTAATTCACTGGAACAAGATCCAATAAGCCAGTTGTGAACTTCACACTGCAGATGATAATTCGCAGAGACTGAGACATATATATATATATACATATATATATATAAGCAACACAAATAACACATCATCCTCTGTATACAAGAGTAGTTTAGATTTCTAATGACAAAGAACTGTGCAATTTTGTCAGAACTTCATATTTGACTGGTGCTTTGAAAAAAATGCATTTTTTTTATTATTCATTATACACATTATAGTAATCTGGGCCATGTAATAGGAATGCACAACAGAAACTTCCCATTTGGCCAAGGGCATGAAGGAACTGCTACTAAAAGTCTAAAATACTAACGCTGAGGCAAGAGTGGCCAAGTAGGATACTATCACTAAATCCAATGGAGCTGGGAAACTGTGTGGTGAAACACTGGCACAGGCTGCCCACAGAGGTGACAATCTAGAAACAATCAAGGGGAGGGTGGACAGGCTCTGAGCAACCTGATCTAATTGAAGTTGTCCCTGCTCACTGCAGGGGGGGTTTGATTAGATGACCAGATGACCTTCAAATGTCCCTTCCAACCCAGACCGTTCTCTAATTTTATGATTCCCAAATATAGTTTTAACACTTCCAGGCACTTCTTTAATTTCTGTATATGTATTAAGGACTCTTCGGTTGCAGACAACACATTTGCACGTCTGGATCTGTCCTAAAGCAACTGGACATTCTGGGCCATTAGACAACCTGTTTCCAAACAAAGGGGACGCTGCCAATGGATACACTGGGCTAAAACTTTTGCTTCCCACTAAAATGAGAATCAAGAAGGGGGGGGGAGTGGGGCAATATTTTCAGGTGCCCTTTTAACTCTTGGTTTCCAGGGTTTAGACGTACAGTGGTATCTCTTCCCCCAGAAGCTACAGGAAGTGGACAGCATCCCTATCTAGGAAACCTGAGAAATTTTCAGTAGATCTTACAGCTGTGTCTTTCCTTCTGTGAAACTTTACCCGTTCCAGAACTTGCCAGACTGGGGTCTGCATGGCCAAACTGCCATACAGAGGCTACTAGGACTCTGTTTCTACACAAAGCTCAAGCCAGCAAAAATTAACAGTGAACTGTCAATGCAAGCATGGATACCAACTGTTATAGGCCATACCAATGTATTAAAATACAATTAGGAACTATCTAACCACTCCAGTAACAGAAGTGTTAGTCAGAAATTATCCCACTAAGACTTGGACAGTTTTTGTCCAGTAAAACTTTTGTGCACTCTTTGCAGCTGACACTTCTGGTTCAGTCCTGTAAAAGAATAAATCCTTGTGTCAGGACCTTGCTGGGGGTTCACATGCCTTTGGGGATTGCAGCAGATTTCTCTCCCCTCAACTTCTGAAATCCCACGTTTCAGATCAGGTAGGCTTAGCAACTAAGAGCAAAGGATAATTCTGATGCTCTTTACTTAACAAAGAAAAGAAGAAAAAAAGGAAAAAAAAAAGAGCACAATAACCCAGGTAAAGAATATAAGCCAAGAAAAAATAGTAGCTAGCCACTTTCCAACAAGCAGAGTAAGCAGCCTGCATGCTCCTGCAAAGCAGGCACCTTTTCTCAAGCACTGATTTCATGCTGTGTAAGTCTCGAACCAAAGATGCACGCTTGGAGACATTACTTCTTCCATGCAATTCTCCTCTCAAAGGAGAAAGAAGAAATGTCAGTTCTGATCTAAGCTACACCTGGCACTACAGATAACCAGTTTGCACAAATCCAGCTCCAAGGACCCAGGAATGTGAAGGAGGTGATAACCTGCACACTGGGCCTCCCCGCAGACCTGCCCTCAGAACACCCAGAGCTGCCAAGGGGAGAGGGCTGTGCATGGGCAAACACTCCAGTACGAGCCATCAGCCCACCCTGGCACCACAAGAGCAATAATTAAGCAATTCCCACTCAAAGACAAATGCAAACACGCTTTCAGTTAAGAAGTTTCTAGGTCTCCCAGAAAGGCAAGGAACTGCATTACTCCAGGGCTCCTACTACCAGTGCTTTCCCAAAGAGCTGCAGAATGACCTTAAGAAGCAAGATGTCCAGTCTGGCTGGCGAGAAGCTAAGACATTTGTGTTAATTTTCTTCTTGTGCATTATTTCAGACAATGTAATCCCATCACTAATCAAATGCTAGGAAGCTCTTCCTTCCTTCTGTACATTCCTCTGCAATTCAACCTCCACAAAATCCTCAGCAGATGGTACATGCCACTGAATAAGTGCTTGCAGAAATCCATTAATCTCAGTCCTGCAGATGACCCTTCTGACATCAAGGTTGTACCTTGTCTCAGACCTCATGAGTCACTTCCTTCCTTCCCTCTCTATTAAATATTCTCATTATCTCCAGTTTACTTATAAATATGCACATGGAAAACACGCACAGACCGGACTGCTGGAAAATGAAAGATGTGTAAGTTTTCTTCACTTCACTGTTCTTTTCTCTGCTACCAAGAGCAATGCTTTTCTAATCAATTGCTGAAGTTGCCAGCACAGGGAATGGATAGACGGTTACAGCACACCAAATTCCCCTCCATTTTAAACTTCAGTGAAGCATTAAGTTTCTCAAGTAAGTCAGAAATGACAGCTCAGCCTGCACAGGCAGAATGTGGTATTCTATAAGTAGCTTAAACTCAACTCACGGTGAGGAACCGCCTCGACTTCCCAGATTTGCAAGCGCAACATTTTTATTTTTCAGTAATCTAATAGTTCATATTAAATGTTCTTGGTTAAAAATTGAATACACCATGCTTTATTTGACTGTGCTGCAAAGTAATAAGTCCAGAGCAATAAATGCAACTCAAACTAATTTTAGTAGGCAACATCCAAGTTATTTGGCATACTCAAGAATCAGGTTTCATCTCATTTCCTATCTATTAACACTGAAACCTTCCACTTGGAAAGAAAGTGGTTTAGCTTGCAGTACATAAGAGTACAAAACATTTTAATTTACGGTATCATTTTAATATTGCACTGGCCTGAATGTTCTGTCAAATCGTGTTTCCAACAGAACAGCTGTGCCAGGAAGGAAATTATTTTAACTTGGTAATTCTCTGGTCAGTTTTTCAGATCCAATCCTGCTCTACAACACCTGCTGACTGCTTCAAGTGACACCCACAGGCTGTGAACAACAGAAGCACAAGAGCTCTCCCCATTTTAGGAGAGTCACACTACAGCAGAAGCTTCAAATGCTACATAGGGACCTTGGGCTCTGTGGGGACTCTGCTGCAAGCAGCCTGGGTCTGTGCTTCTTCAGACCTGCAGCAATGTAGGTAAATAAAATAGCTGAGCTTCTTCTCATTCAGAAGAAAATGCTACAGCATTTATATGCAGAGGTTGCGGGTCATGAGACAAGTGCCCCAGTACACACACTTGTATAGACAGTAATTTTAAATCCTTGATGTGTATGTCAACCCTTAAAACATGCGTTCAGTTTCTTCTTAAATAACAGATTGGGTATTCAGTGACCTATTCATTTCAACCAGATGATTTGTCAAAATTAAGTAAGTGCTGCTTAAATAGACTTCTGACAGTGGATAGAAAGTGTTCTGTAAGAAAGTGGCAAACCAAAGCACTTCTTTACAGGGTCTATCACATTAAAGAACGTGAGTTACTGTTAAATGTTTAAGGTACTTCACAATCTTGTTTTGCTTTGTTTTGATTTCACTGAGTGTGCACACACAATTGAAGCATAACACACAACCAAAACCAGATCCTTCTGAAACTGTCATCAGCAGCATGATGATGGTACTCAAAAGTG